TCTGTCACTTGGAGCTTCGTAGCTCCCATAGATAGCGAAGGCGCTCCCGCGATCCTAATTGATGGTCAAACCACACCGCACGAGAACAGCCTCGCCGGCGCTGAGACGAGAACTGCATTTCGTTTGCGGGAGAGGAGTACTTCTATTCCACTCATGAAATTTGGACCCCACCAACCAATCTGAGGCCACTTACCTACCCAAGGTAATAATTTATTATCACCTCATAAGACGTGGTGAACTATTTAAAGTTAAGAATAAAAAATTAATTACACAGTCTAATGTACATTTTTTAAAAATTTGACGACAGTACGTCTTCTCATATTCGTGAAAACTGTTAAAAATATTTTGTATCGTCCAGCTATACTCTAGAAAATTAATTTTTAATGAACTGCGAGAGCATTAGATAGATTTGTATCTAACTCATAAATTCACAATTCCTAAGTAAATAGAGATACATTCTTACATTTTATCTTCGCAAGAATTTTACGAGACATTCTTCTGTATCACGAATAAAGTCATCGAAAGAGGAATAAAAATCCTTCGAAAATCACGCGAAAAACGTGAAAGACAATATGGGAGCTTTTTGAAACATGAGAAGGCCAAATAACATGAGACTAAGAAGGCAATAGAAATGACAAAAAGTGAGTGTGATTATTAAAGAGGGGAACGAATGGTAAGTTTTGCTGGGAATTGAAGAAAAAACAGCAAAAGAAGAAAATTAGAATTGGAAACAGGAAGAAGGATAAGAAGGTTGCTAGTCTGCCAACGAGGTAGTCTGAGACTCGGGTACTTTTTTCTATCAAATTTACCGCCTCAACCAAAGTGCTCCGGACGTAATGATCCGGACCTCAAATATTACATAACTCGGCCGCCATAAACGTTTATTGCCTGCCCAACCTACGTAATAACTCAAGGACCCTCGAAAACGTATTTTTATTCCAATTGCAGCCTCAAACATATAATGACATAGTTAAGAAAAAATGAAAGGTGCGCGACACGCATCTCAATAACATGGCGACGAAATTCAGAGCTTTAGGCGACAAATGGTCACGAGCATGCCAGCAGCGGTTAACACGAATAGGCGGGTATTAGTCTGTGGTGGAAACAGTTTTGGTGAATAAACGTGAATTATTTATTACTGTAACGTGTAATCTTAATATATCTCAGGTGTTGATATGTACTTAAGTGTCTCCCTATTAATAATTGTTTAACGCTCTTTAAGAGGCTTGAATTGCTATTAAAATTTTTTATTGTGAACATTGGAAATTGTTGGGCATGTATCGCTTTTCGCACTATTGGTAATATGCGGTTAGAAGGTGGCATTTGGGCGAAAGAGAGGTAACTTAATTTAATGATCTATAAAATAAATAAAGCAGTGGAATGGAATGTAAAAAACAGTTATTTTTGTTTGTATAAATCATAAAATATGTTTTATTCAGCACTCTAATGAATTAGGAAACTCCACGATTAGAAATGATCTAGTGAATTAATGATTTCCAGTAATTTATTTCCAATAATTCCTATTATCTATTGGCACTCGTTCATTTAGTTAGTTTTGTAATTTGTATTTTTCTGTTCTTTCTCGTACCTTCCTCTCTGACATAAGAAATAGGACAAAGACTTATGAAACATGTAATTGTGTGTTGCAAAATTCCGTATTGAATAATATTCATTCTGTAACTGCAAAATTTGTTTCCCCAAAACTTTTACCCTATAATTTTGTGACTGGAAAGTTTAAACGTTTACCTTTTCTTTTGAGCGAAGAAAATTAATTTTACCCCGTATTATCACTGATTATTAAATTTATTTGAAATGCAGTTTTTCGCGAAAATTATCAATAAATATAAAAATAAAAGAAATAGCTCTTTAGTGAAACGTTAATTATGCAACGTCATTCCGCGTGCAATGCAGGTCACGCCCATGTGTGTTACGTGATATGGGCCTCTGCTGAAGGGAAAAACAACGCTCTCGAACCGGGCGGACAGGTGCGACAGTGTTTTGTTTTTGTTCCGAGGCCCTGAAGCGTAAAAATGTGCCTTCGAACAACGAAAGACTCATTACCTTAATGTTCAAACGTTTAAACTGCCGATGCCGCATGATAGAACACGGGTTTGTAGTGGAGCCGTGGGTGCCTACAATAAAGGATTCGATCTGCTTCTTGGGGATATAATCAAGGTTGTTAACGTAACCATGCTTCCTCCGACTTGGGGGAATAAGAGGTATTGGAATCGACTACTCCATGATTGCAACATTATCTTATATGCACTGTAAACAATGGACACTTCGGAAGTACCATAAAACAAAAGAAGGCGGAGGTCTTGAGTTTTAGAAGTGTTTTAAAAATTGTTATACAAGACATAATTTGTTGCTTACGTAATATGCCATTTCACAATAAACGACATCAATAGCAGGAAGTTGCCTCTAGTGAGCTGTGAAGTGGGGTGAATATAGTTCAAAGGTCGCAAATGCTACAAGGAGTTATCCAATCGAATCTTCAATGGGACATTTTATAGGTCACGTTGTAGGTCGCTATACACGTTTCCGACATTGAGCGCACATAATGAACGTGTTTTGAGAGCTCGCAACTGCGCACTTTCTTGTTATTTTATAGACGCCTCCAAGTTTGTTACCAAAATTACCGTCATTAACATGTACGAAAGGTCAAAGAATCAAATTCTACACTTTTCGGGTTAGACAAAGTAAGCTCATGCTCAAGGAAACAAAGAAACAAACATTTTGAGAACTTTTGGAAAGTGAAAATAAAATACGTCGAAAATATAATTTAAAATTAATGAAATATTTTGTGACAATAAGTGTGAATTTTTTTATGAAATGCAAGTTAATTTCATTATTTTCACTTTATTTCGCCTTTAAAAATCCCCCAAAATATTTTCTCCCCCAAAATAGTTTCTATATCTTGACAATTCTCGCCTACAAGTGGACAGCTCTTTTAACACAAGAATATCTGTTATACATCCCTGTCTGAACGTAGGAATTTAATGAAATTATTGCAATCTTACAAAATCAAGGTACTTTTGATTCAAAATATTTAATTTACCTCTCATTTGACAATTTAAAATTGTCTAATGTATTATTTCCTTTTAATGGATCATTTCTTTGCTCTAGTGGAGGAAGTGGGAATTAATAGAGCTTCATTTGTGGCAATAACTGTCAACTGACTTCTCCGAATCGCTTTCATTCGTCGGGTATCCAGTGAGGAACCGCCGCTCTGAACAATCCTTTCATTGAAATCTCGCGTCAGTTGCTCTGGTGGCAGTGCCCACGAACCACGATTAAGCTGATTACTTTGACATGGCTGCTCTACGGATCTAGAAGTTCTCTCTTTCAAATGTCAAAACGAGATTTGTAAACCACAGCCATTTTTTATAATTGAATTGTGTTATAATTTTTTAAACGTGTGAATTAATTTGAAAAAAAAATGTAATGAAAAATCGAGTGAGACGTGGAGAGGAGGAGTATAAGAGCGAACGCAGCAGTTCCCGGGATCTCGCGTGCCTCTGGATCTTCCGAGGCTGCTTCGCATTCGGAGTCGGGGCCCGCGCTGGCCAACGGGTGCGGTCCCCGACCGCTGCACGCGGAGTCACGCTGGCCGACGGGCTTTGAATTCGAATCTCCTCGGCATGACAGCGCGGCCTCGCCGTTATGAATTTATTTGCGCAGGGGCTGCCAGAGGATAGGAAGTGCGCGTGTGTTGCGTGAGTGGGGAGATTGTATCATCACGCGCTTGCATTTGCAGTATAAGGGCAATATACGGCGTCGCGACTTCTCGTTTGGTATCTACTGCAATCATTTCTCATATCTTTCTCAAAAAGCTATCTCTCCAGCAGCGGTATCTCATTTGGTGTTTGATGAAAAAGACTTCAATGCTGGCGAGATAATTACATATTTCTGTAGTGGGATACATTTACATTTTAAAAAGCTAGGGTATTAGCATGACTGTGTTTCCTCGTGATGTTATCATGGTTGCGTACCTTGATATTTCGAAGACGGTACAACATACGAAGGCTGCCCACCAACTTTTTATGTTAAACTGCACTTGAATTATTATTTAATTCAATGTGACAATGATAAATGTACAAATGTTATAGAAACTAGTGATGATCGAGAATAACTGACTTCCCTTACTAGCTATGTTTCTAATCTCTTTAGACCAGGCTAACATTTGGGTATTATTCGTCCTAGCTTCCCTCTTCCCAGCTGCTATCTAATGAGGCTTAAAGGACATACTTTACATATTTTTTCGGGTTTCTGTCCCCTAATGGTAGAACTGAAATATGACTTAACACATATTATAGAAGAATAAAACGTGATTATATAAGTGAAAATTTTTGATTATAAATATAAGCACGTTTTGTGAAAATGTCGTTTGAGTGTTTCTGGAAATGCGGGATTTTGAGTTCATTTTCACAAAAAACTTTTGTTTTGGAGAAACTTAATTGGAAATCATTGTAAACATTTCTATTCATAAACACTGTTCAGTGAGTTGAACACGGACAGGACTGCCACTGTCGTTGCAGCGCATTTGACCGCGAGGTCCCAGGGTTCGACTCCCGACTGTGGCGGACTTTTGACTCTCGCTTGTCAGCTAGGTGTAATACAGCCGCGCCTGGAGGGGAATTCTAGCGGCCGGTTGCTCTGATCGGGAGTTTTCCGTGATTTCTCCGATCTGCACCAGGCGAATGCCAAAGCATTAACCCTAACGTACGGGCCACGGACCGCGATTTTTCCTTCTAGTTCCTTGTCCCATCCTCATCCCTTACACACTCCCCCCACATACCTTCGTGCACTAGAATATCACACATGTCGGATTTTCCCTGGTGGGTGGTGCCTCGCTGGAGGGGAGGTCGGCGCCGATTCTCACTACCCAGCGTGCGAGAAACGGCGCCACCGTCCGGATACAGCATTCACTACACTATCGGGACTAAGGACAGTAGCAGCCCATGGCCACCAATAAATCTGTCCTTGAAAGGCGCACTCACCGGCGTGGCTCCGGCGGCGGCGTCCGCAGGCGCCAGCAGCAGCAGCAGCAGGAGCAGCGCCGTGGCGGCGGCGGCGGCGGCGGAGGCGGTGACGTGTCTCCGGAGCGCCATGGTGGCGGCGCTCGGCTCGTCCTTCTGCGAACAACACAGGGCGCGCGTTAGCTCTTGCTCTCGCCTCCGCTGCGGAGGGGGCCTGGCTGGGGGAGAGAGAGAGAGATGGGGCGGTGGAGGTGAAGCAGGTTAGAAAAGGTGAGGGAATGGGTCGTGTAGAGGAAGATGCAGAGGGAGCACTTGAGTGTGTAGATAGAGCAAAAAGATATAATGGTGAAGGGGATAGAAGAGGAAGTTGGTGAGGGAAGAGTCATGGAGAAAGGAAGAATTACTATTGGTGTAGGTGGGAACAAAAATATGACGAAACAGGAACAAAATGTGAGGACAAAAATGTTGAATAGCAAATTAGAAACGACAGAAATTGGAGAAGAGAAATCAGAAAGAAAAAAGGCAAACTGGCGAAATGTGATGGTCTCAAAGGAACACGGTAGAAAAGTACGAAGTGACACAAGAGCGGGTAGAAAGAGTAAATGGGAAGAGAAGAGGGACAAAACGAGAAAAGAAGTAGATATTTCACTCCTTTATTGCATCGAGGAGTCAAAGAAAGAAATATATGGGAGTTTCTCGAATAGATCTGCCCCTGCGATCGACTGGAAGGTGCTGGGAGGAGCGAACGGGAGTGGGGGAGCTGCAGGGTTCCCTGGAAGTGCGTCAGATCCTTGCGCTGCGTCAAAGAGAAGAGACCGCGCGCTGGCCACATCCTTCGCACAGTCAACAGCGGGGTGGGCGGACGCGCTTCTGCTCTTGTTGAGGCAGACGTAGGATGGGGTGGGAACGAACACACGCCCTTCACTACAAGAGACGTGGACGGGCTGCCAGTTTATTAAATAAACTTATTGATCTTTGTCGTGCAAATAGAGTGCGGCACACACACCTACACACACGCCCAATGAATGCCTCTAAGATGAATGCGTGGGATGGTTTACACGTCTTCCAAAACTCCAAACTACTCAACGTGTCTACGAGCATACTAAATAGGCTGTAGAGACCAAGAAGGGTATTTTGTTACGCTTCTGTACGTGAACCTAGCACACAGTACCTTCTTTGAATTTAATTTCTTGATGACTACTAAAACACAAAGTGCCTTATGTGGGAATGTATAATTGCATCTCTTCTACTGATGAAAATCAATTGAATCTATATGTGGCTCTATGTATTTATTATGTCTACTCTCAAAACGTTTTATTGAAATAGTGCGTGTAATTGGAGGGTAAGAATTTCCCAAGAAGAAGCAAATATTAATTTTCATATGTTAAAATTATTCGGATGGTTTAAATGGCTCGGCTTGAGATATTCCTCTGACACATTTTGGCCAAATATAAGATGATACCACTGTCATATTATTACATTTTATGCGAGTATTCGATGCTGGTGTAAGAAGTGACATACCATGGAGAACATTATTTTTTACTCTGTAATAAGGAATTTTGGATTCAGACCTTTATCTTCTTACTTTTTAGAATGAATTCAATATTTGCATAGTCTAGATTCTTTCATTTTAATCATTTCTTTACTTCACGAACGTGACCTGCTGAAATGTTTGCAAAACTTTTCCATCCTGCTAAAACAGTATGAAACGACTCTGTTAAGCAGCATATATTTTCGTTTATTTTCGTTATTTTATCATTGTGGTTCAGGAGAATGCAATTTGTAATTTTATTTGTATTGTATATATTTATTCAAGTATTTTTCAAAATTCGTTGTTGAAATTGGGCAATATTTTCCCGGAAATTAAACATTAAGGATAAATGAGAAGTAACTTCGATAGAAACTGAGACAAAAGGGAGATGATATTAAGATTCGGATAATCTACGAACCAAAATATTTGTATGGTGCACGAAGAGTTTTGAAAAGTAATTTTCATTCTAATTCCAATGTAGGTTTGTAAACAAGTATATGTCCTGTTGCATAGTTAAGTATTTACTTTGGTTATTACTTTTTTGGTATATGTTTTATTCTTCATTTTCAAACATTCTGATTGGGCAACCTTGATCGAAGATTGTAATAGAAATGATGTTTTTGTTTCATTTAAATCATGGAAGGATATCTGTAAGTGTTAATATTTTCTTCTTCTCCAATGATCTCGAGATAGGAGGAAGTGAAAAGTGCTCTCGTAAATAGGTTAGAATACCTGGATTGAAGAGTGCACGTTCCGTGAGACTCATCTGCTCGAGCTGGTGTAGTCGATCGCATGCGGGAAACGATTGTGCAACTTGTCGCTACATATCGACAGTTTCACATTGACAGTGTTGACATCGACTCGCATGTTGGCGATCCTTCTGGTCTAGCTGCCGCCAGTCAAACAGGCTCTTCAACGCATTCAATGGAGGACTTCCGGTTCAGTCGCGCTCTCTGAACTTCCGCCGTATTTCGCTTGTTTCAGTCATTGTTACCAAGTGTAACACGTTCGATGTATATCTCCACTGGTGAATTTAATAGAGAGGTAGAGGCAAACAAAGAGAGATCGTGATTGGGAAGCAAAGGAAGGGAACGCGTGACTGAAGTTTGAGTATCCTGAACTACCTATTAGAATTTTCTGAAATTTTTCGCTGATGAAATAACATGCCATCCAGTTATGTTTTTTACAAGCAATCATAATTGTTTACAGTTTTTTATGGTACGTATTACCATGAGTGCTTTGGAAATTATCGAAAAAATCCCGACTCGCGAAGCGAGAAAGAGATTTATCTGAGAATTTCCAAAGCCCGAGTGAGATTTAATAGGACTATTCAACGAAAAAAGAATGCCCAACAGTTCCAAAGTTCGCCGAATATTGAAAATAACTCAAAGCTATGTTAAAATCGAAGAGGTTCTAGAACATACGCGGTTTATTGGCCATCGACATAGCTGATCGATGTATACCGCTTCTTAAGATAGATGAGTCACAGTTTATGATTGGCCAGTAGGGAGAAGCGGTAAGAAAAATCGGATTTAAAGAGCGATGAACTGTATGAGATAACCGCCCTGACTGGGGTATTTTGTATGCATAGTTAAACCCTATTGACTTAAGTTTCGCGAGTCGAATTGTCCGTGACAATTTCATTTCTCAGAATATTGGCCTTATTAACACACAATTACTAATACTACAGCGGCGTCATATAATGAGAAATTACAAATGCGAATAGAATATCTCTGCGAACTCACAGATATCAAAACAAGAAGAAAGACAACATTTTTAAGGCAGTACAAATTACAGTTCCATTTGATGTTTTCTCGTCATTAGTTACGTAACCACAGAAATAGTGAGTTCATATGGTCGAATGATGTCATTGCATTAAGTACTGTAATTACCCTCAAGATTTCGCGCAATCCATCTTAGTATCAAGGCTATACTGAAAGTTTCTCCAAAACTCTAAATGATAGACTTGGTCCATCTCCAACGGCATCCATTATCATTCTGTGGTGGCAGCTGCTGCGAGTGCGAATGGAGTGGGAAGCGATTGCGAACTCGCGGATGAGAAAAGAAATCAGTTTCTAGAATAAACCGATCTAGAGATCCGTTAACGTGAGAATTAATTGTGATGCGCGTTAATTTTGTAATGTAACAGATAAGTGAATACAGACTTCATTACCACCGAAAAAATATGGAGCGCGCCTTGTTCGAAGCACTGTACTTTGGATTCCTTGCAATTTGTAGACGATCATCGCTGCATTGAAAAATATTTATCAACCGAAAGAGAGCAGGAGAATATTTATGAATAATATGCAGTGTACTGTATAACTTGTTTTGATAAATGCGTATTGTAGTACTGAGAATATCAATTTGGATAAGATGCCTCTTTTGCGCTTGGAAATGTTCTCTTTTTTAAAAAAAATCAAGATTTTGTCTTTCATGTGCCAATTTTGTTCACTACCCCTTTGCCGCCACGTTCTTTCTCATATTCCTCCGCTCCTTCCACTTTTTAAATTTTCTCTGGTAGCGACATTTCCGAAGAGGCTTCGAGTTGCCGTGTTGTGATTCGGTCGTAGGTTAAAACGTCTATCCCGTCCTGATATATGGCTTCTTCCAACAATTATAAAGCTCTCTCCTGTTTGCCATTCTCACGTTCTGTTTCTGCACTTTTCTATAATATTTTTTTCGTGCTTCTATAATATTTTTTTAGAAATATTTTCAGAGGAAGGCAAAGAAATTTACACTATGCATTCTCAGATATTCTAGAATAACCAGGAACTGTGGTGCCAGTATCTCGAAGAGAACACCAGAAACGAACATTTGCGAGCTCTTTGGAGATCGGCTCCGCAGTAAGCGAGAATCCGAGTTACAACAAACACTGAAGTCGTAGCTGCTAGGATGGGTTTGGAATCCTCGACTCTGATTAAAGCACTTTCCTCGCTCGCACACTGACTTCCACGGGAGGAGAACCAGAAGCGCTTCGAGTAGCTTTTTATCTCAGGGAGACTGGGTTCAAATCCAGGGCTCCTTATGCCATGAGCATTATTTTTGACAGCGATTTTGCGCCACGTTCTCTCAAGGTTCCCCGCTCTCCACCGCCTTCTTTGTTAAAGCATTTCAGGTACGATCGAAAGGTTTAGGATATGAGATTATAATAAGGAAAAATAACTACTTTGGTCTCTCCACAGCAGATGACGATTTAATAAAAAAAAAGTCTTTCTATTAGGCAAGCATTGTAGCTGCGCTGGGCCGCGGGCGGGACGAAGCCGTCCGAAAAGAAGACCGACGGAACGTTGCCCCCCACGCCCCACGCCCGTGTTCGCATCCGTGAAGACGCCCGCCCGCCCGCCGCCGCCGCCCGCCCTGCGCTCCGCATTGCGGGCCAAGGCTTCGGGATTTGGACGGCAACGGAGCGATGGATTACGGGAAAAACAAGGGGAGAAAATGAGGTGCAATTAAGAGATACGAATTAGCCGCAGCCGCGAAGCGTTCATTTGGAGGATCGAAGGGCTGCGCCGAAACGACCGGGGGCTTTGTGAAGGTGATTTTTGTCACGAGCGGATTCAGCCTTCGCCAGATGCTGTTCGGGTGGGAGTCGGTGTTTAAGTATCTCTTCGATTTGTAATTTGGC